CGAGTTCTCCCCAGGTCAGTTGTTTTTACCACAAAGTAGTTTAACATTGTCTGTGTTCTAGAAATCTATTGTGAAGAGCACCTTGGTTTAAAAATCATCTTGAAGCTGGAGTGGAAAAAGTTTTCTTTAAGTCACAAAGTGAGAACAGTAAGAATACACGACCCCCGACTTTCTCATCATTTTTGGCTCTGTAACAATAAAAAGTAAACTTTTCATTTTGACTTAGGAGGATTTTATAAAATCTCCACATTTTGTGTACATTTCAGACTTGATAATTTACCACCCCAGAACCCATCTGAGAGGGATTTAAAGCTCAAGAAAACAGCAGCTCTCTGCAAGTTTTTAAGTAACTGAACTTTGGAGATACCAACCGACTGGAAGATAGAATCAGTTAATCCCTGAACTCAAGGAACCCTTGGCCCGTATCCCAGATAACACAGGATGCCAGAAATTGGTCAGGTCCCAGCCTTGCCTAAATGCATTTCTCTCCCCTCAGAAGATTGCAGCCCCTGACCACTTCCAGCACCAGAGCCCGGCCTCGCCGGGAAGCTGTGGTGACTATATGAATAAGCGCCTTTTTGTGGCGGGCATTGCCTGGAAGGTGGCCAAAGCCAGACAGGTACCTGTGGCCCAGCTGTTGCTCAGTGATGAGGCTGGCATCCAAGCTGAGTGCCAGTCCTTTCAAAAGCAGCCCTTTTGATAACACTGATTACATTTCCCTCAGAAGAGCCTTGGGCTGATTGAGCAACAGCCAACTTCTCCCAGTAACAAAGAGGTGGGGAAAGTAATCCAAACACAGGTTTTATTATAAAAACCAGGGAGTGAGAGAAGTATGTTTATTCTGTAAGATAACACACCTGCTCGGTGCCCGGGAGGCTCATTTCCATCGGTTGCCATGGCAAACTCGTTACACTTCAAGGCCATGTGGCTTTGTTTCCTTTTGAGATCTGGTCCTTGTCTTACCTTTCCTAACAACTCTAACACAATGACATGGAAGCCTGCAACAGCGTAATTGATTTCTCCTTCCCTCGCTCAACGGTTCACATTTGTTCAGCACAGGACTGAGCCTGCCTCCTCCTTTGAACTCCTAGCTAACCATGAAGGCATGCTTCAGAGAGCCGTCCTCATTAACATTCCAGGTCCCCTTTCTCTGTCAGCAATAAACAAGCCCTGCATCAATGGCCTCCTTCCTTCCAGTTTTACAAATGAGTGGCTCAGTTCCATGTTTTGCTGCCGATCCAGGTGCCCAGGCGTACAATGCGGGGCTAAGAAGCACGCGGGAGAGACTAAAAATAGAACAGCAGTTTTGGACGCATACCAGAGCAGCTACTTCATCTCAACTTGCTTTGCACACTAAGCCTAATGGGATCCATCAGGCATGAGTTCCCTCTCGCTCTCTCCCTCCCTCTCTCCCCAGCTGCTGTCTACCATCAGCGCCTTCCTGGTGAAGGGAGCAAAGGGAGGTCAGGCAAGGGACAAGAAATGTGTGCCCTCATGGTTTTAGTTTACAAGTCCTGGGAGATCTGGGGCTGTAATTACTCTGTTCATGTGAACGTTTTTGGAAAAGAGCAGGCCGACCGAAAACATGGTCACTGCCCAGGTGCGCTTTGGTCCAAGACTTCCATTGTTTAGCAAAGGCTCAGATATCACTTCCTAAACATCAGGGTAAGTGTGACCCTATGCTCCTGAGAAGTTAGAGCTGAACTATGCTAAGCTGGGTGTTCCTCTTACAGTTCTCACCTGCTTGGCTTGAGGCTAAGGATTTGGGAGTGAATGTGCGACCAGGTGGAGGGGCAGCAGCCCCCTGAGTTGAACTGGCTGCACGTGACTCCCTGCCTAGGGTCTATGAAAGCCTTCCACCTCCCACTAAGTATCCTATGGATTCTATCTGGAAGCTTTTCCCAATATAAAATGCAACAAATCAGTGCAAAGTTAGGAATATGCTATCCTGCTCTGGCACAAGGTATCCCAGAATGCCAGTGGTATTAACTGAACTCCTGCTAAAAGGTATCTTTCTCCTACCAAATGGAGAGTTGGTGTGACACATACATTTCTTCTTTATGCAGATATCCCAAAGTGCCATTTTTATTCCAAGGAGAGCCACTCTTGTAGATTCAGATGTGTGGGGGAAAGGTGAATAGCAGAGTATTTAAAATTAAAAACTTTCCCATCATTGTTATTTTGGATACTGGCCCAATAAAACTAAAAGAAATTGATCTGACTAGTAGCAGGTATTGTCTATAAACTTCAGGAAGGTGTCAAGATCATTTAAATTGCGTCTTGGTTTCCTATAATTCCAGCATAGAATAAATATGCCAAACCACTTCAAGAAAAGTCGCACTCCATATAATCACAGCAATAATTAATTCCCCAAAGAACTTCCCACAGAACAAGTTGCAACATGATCATTTAATTCTTCAGCCACCAGAGGACAGAGGTACATCTTCCCTCAGGCCTTCTCTGTTCACGAGGCTCAGTTTACCTCTGGGAGATCCTGGGTCATTTGTCAAGCACGTCTACCATCAAAACTCTGAAAGCTTTGCAGCTCACCAAATAAATGTCCACAGACTGGAAACCAGGATAGCTGGGTTCTAGCCCTAGGGTGTTTTCTCTAGGGTTTACTTTCCTCAGGCCTGAAAAAAAACTGCTGAGATCCTTGATTCTAGGATCCCTTCCAGAACAGATAATTCCATGGCAGAAATAAATGGTCTGAGAATTGTTTTTGGTGCTTGCTTCCTTTCTGAGTTTGATTGTTGTTGATTATTGGGTGCCTGGGCTCGTAGAGTTATCTGGAAAAATATTTCTTTGGGATGAAAGGCATTTCTTCTTTTTGATATTTTGTCCATAAACTAACCTTCCTTCTCATTCATTTGCCATGAGGAGGTAGGTCTTGCTGATTCTTCTAAAGATCCTATGTTTTCAGAGAGCCTTTCTGGATCATTTCCCAATGATCGTAGGGCTTTGCAATCTACTTGGGAAAGGTGCTGGTGACAAAGGGGTGTTTGGCAAAGCAGACGAGGTGGTTGTTGATATGGCTGAGGTTAAGAAAACGCTTTTGACAAAACTTCCTGAAACAAGGTCAGGGATGTTCCAAATGGAGATTTTGCTGCCCTTGCTGACTCTGAGCAAAACTCAGTCTTTAAATAGATCATTTAATAGGGGAAAAAAGAGAAAAGGGTATCAACAGCAACAGTTTTTCTGAGTACTGAGCTGAGAAATGGTTCGGGTACTCTGTGGGCATGTCTGAGTTGTCTTGAAACAAAATAGAAGTTTAACTAAGTAGGCAGACACCAGTCACAGGTTAAAAATTACCTGTAAAATTTTGTTACTCCTTAAGTATTAAACAATAACCTAATCTTGCATTCTGCATACCTTACCCCCACCCATAAGTCAGTTTAGGTCTGAATAATTTCTTGAGGCGAAGAGGTTATTTTTACTGAGTCAGCCCTAAGCTGCCTTCTACCCCCAAAATAGCTACTGATGAATGCATGAGAACCAGGATTATATCTAAATAAACCTAGTGCTAATCTCAGTGTCAGGGCGGTGTTCCTGGTCATCAGATTTCATAGAAACTTCAGGGGTCAAACTTTCATCTCTTGGCCAGGGGTTGGGGGGGTGTGGGGGGTGTGTGTGTGTGGTGTGTGTGTGTGTGTCTACCACTGCTACTTGCTATAACATTTTTTTGTGCATCACCAGGGATCTTCCTTCCTCATTCACCTGGCCTAGGAATAGTAGTTAAGTATTCAGAAAAGGTCTCTGAAGAGAGAAAAGGGATAACATATCACATTATTAAATCTTTGCAAACCAGAAACATTTTAGAGAAATATTTGCCAGTGTCCTGTTATTTACAATTGTGTATAGAATCCTTAAGGATGGTGTCACCCCAAAAAGAGATAATAAAAAGAAAGAAGACTTAGAGTTTGTGTTTAGAGTGCATCAAACAAAAAAGTCAGTTCTACCAGGCTCAAATGCAACCAAGTTGAAGGTACTTGTCACAGAGTTTTACAAATGAGTGCTTGGGTATAGCAGCTTTTCTTTTCCTATTTTTTTAAAAACAAAGATATTTACCTCACCCAGTAGACATCTAGGTGATAGTACAAATGGAAGTAGTATTTTTTTCAGTTCACTAGCACTAGCAAAATTTCTTATTAATAGTTGATAAGTACTTGTGGTCCCAACAGTGACTTGTGTTGAACTATCAGATTCTACAATTGAAACTTGTTTAAGAAGTTAGGTAGACAATAAAGGGAAGCAGTAGCTCTCACACCCCAAATATTTCTATTGGCTTACTAACTTTGGCCATATGTAAATGATACATATATATGTATTTCATATATGGATATATTAGTACATTCTTTTTTTGATATCAGTACATTCTTTTTGTGATATAATCATATACATAATGATTAGTGTGAGGGTATCACTGAAGGTGTATAAAGAAGAAGAAAATGTTTCTGTTAAGAAAATGTAATTTTATCCCCTGAGAGATACAATTACGAAAATTCAGTCATTCCCCAAAAGAGTATTTAAGTTTTAGGTCCTAGATCGTAAACCTTGTAGGATCATTAGAGATACTTTTGTCCATTCATTTTATCAACCAGTCTCTAGAGTTTCAGAAAAGTGGGAGAAGTTGGTTAAGGCAACACAGTTAGTGGAAGAACAAGACTAGAACATGGAGCTCCCCAACTGCAATTCTAACCTAAATAATATAGCCCCTATTACTACATACATCATATAAATATTCTTACATATTTAGGCAGTCTCTTTATAATTATGGTTGGGTGTTGTACAACGTTGTTTTGTTAAAATGTTTTACTACAAGAATAAAGCTTTCAAGATTATATTACAAAGGATTATTTAGCTCTCTGGCTTTAATCCTTGCATACAGAGCGGTCAGTTACATTTACCTAATATTATCTCTAAGCAGCTTTATTGATATCCCTGCAAGCAACTGCCCATTATAAATTAATATATACCTATCTACTTTGAGATAAGGGAAACACAATCTTACAAAAAAGTAAACATTTTATTATTTGTCCATGAATCCATTTGGTATGAGTACACGAAAGCATCTGGCTAACTCATAAAAGTCACCTTAAGCGAGGGCAGCATGCATGGTGGTTTACATTTATTGTAACATCACGTATATTATCTACTTGCTAAGCACTGAGAGGTCCAGACAGACATGTTGAGACTGCAGAGGGTTTCAGAGGCAGGGAAAACAGAGCAAGCCCGGCATCCTCCATTTCTAACACAGGGCCTGTTAGATCTCAGAAGGAAGTGTACTCTGCACAACGGATTTTCTGGGGTCAGAGGGCCCTTAGGGAAGGACTGAGAACAAACAACCATGAATGCTGTCAACCAGCCTCAGCTACAAGAATGCTGGTGAGACAGGGATTTTGTTCTTGTCTGAAGGGGCCCCGTTGACCCGGCGTGGAAGGTGTCACAAGGGCACCACCTGAAGGGTGGGCAGAGGCCCCCGGGGAGGAGCTACGTACTCTTCTTCCCGAAGCAGCCGCAGCAGGATGTTTTTCTTATTCTTGGGCCAGCTGTAGACGTGAGTGTTCTGAAGCCAAGTGGGCACATGCTCCTGTGGGAGAGAGCAACAGGAACAAAGGCCATCAGGGACAAACCTGGATTCCAGACCCCATGTCCGGTTCCCGCACCTCTATGGCTTTCACTTCCCGGGCTGTTCCTTCCAAGTTGTGCTGTTTAGCTTTGGGAAGACATTCATCTGTGAAAGGCTCTTGGCTTCAGGTGCAAGCTGTATATCTCATTATGGAAACCACACGTGTACAGCATTTTCTGTCAGTCTCCCAGGCTACCTGCCCTTTGCATTTCAACATGCTTTTCACCACCCTCACATAAAAGGGGTAGGACAGAGGTCCTGCAGAGTGATGTGAATTCCCCTGTGGCTTTGGAAGAAGCATGCCAAAGCTCTGGACTTAATCTACTTCATTATCCTTTTACTCCAGCCACAGGCCTGCAGTAGAAAGAGCCCACAAGGCCTGCTGTCAGGCAAAGGCCAAAATTGTAAGCCAGGGACCAGAGGGGTGCAGCTTCAGACTGCCCTCATGGAGTGTTCATTCTATTGGGAAAGGTAGATAATGACTAAGGAAAATGTATAGTGTGTTTGATAGTGATACATGCTGTAGAAAAAAATAAAACAGGGGATAAGGAGTGCTGAGGCAGGGATAAAAGGCCTACAGTTTTAAATAGGGTAGTTAGGAAGGGTCTTACTGAGAAAATAAGCCAGGGCCTAAAAGAGCAGAGGGAATGAGTTTTGGGGATATCTGGGTTCAGGCAGAAGGAACAACCAGTGCAAAGGTCCTATGGTGGAGGTCTATCTCATCTGTTCGAGGAGTTAGAAGGTTGTTGTGACTAGAACAGAGAGAGAGGCATAAAGGGGGCTGTGCAGATAGGATCCTGTAAGTTTTTTTCTGAGTAGATGGGGTCCTTTGGGGATTGCAGGATGGGCTCAGAAGCAGCATCTGCTATAAATCAGACACCAAGCTGGGCACTGAGGACACCCAAATAACTGCTTCGAGGAAGTTATAAAAGAAGTTATTTTCTAGGCAATGTTGTACCAATAGGGCAGGTGGTCAGAGCACTCTGCCCAGATCACAAGTAACAGGGGAATTGTTCAAAGACAATCGAAGACAATTTAAAAAACAGTAATCGAACCAACTAAAAGTCGGTCTTCTTTTTCTAGTTCTATGCTCCAGTGATTCGAAACAATTATTCCCGGCATCTCCACCCTTAACTACATACCACTTACTCAAGGTACTACAATTAAGAGCTCTCAAGAGAGGCAAAAGAAAATATTGGCATGGGCAAGGGTGGTCAGGAGAGGCTGGAGTGATTGGGTGATATAAGGAAAAGCAAGAACTTACTAGACGGACAAGTCAGGAAAGAGCATTGCAAGCAGAAGGAACATGAAGTGCAAGGGCACAGAAATACAAAAGAACATGGCACATGTGCCATGAAACAGTCCAGGAGGACCAGAACAGAGAGTATCTGTGAAAGGTGATAAGAGAGAAGACTGAGGAAGTGGGCACAGTCCACTTTTAAGTTGCCTCCTACTTCATGCTAAGAAAGGTGGGTATGCTGTTACGGTCAGTGGGAACTACACATGTCTAAGCTGAAGACAGACGGATGAGATCTGTATTTTGGATATTCCTCTTGGATAACAGAGCAGGGGATGTATAGGGTCAAGGTGGAGACAGGGAGACCAGTAAGGAGATGGTGCAGTGAGGGCAATGAGAGCCTGGGACGGCCAGGCATACTGTCATGCAGGCTGTGAACGAAATGACCCCAGGTGTCTCAGCCACATAGGCAGGACCCTCCCTCATCTACGGCAGAAGTCTGGGGGTCCTGTTATCTAAGAATCCTCCAGGGTGAAGCTGGGTCAGAGTTTGGCGTGGTCTGTTTGTCACGACTGCTTCCCTTTGCCCAGCCTGGCACATGATTTCATATGGTTTTTGTCGCCATTCCCCAACCTGCTGGCATACCTTTGAATGCAAAAACCCTCATAGGAACCACAGCAAAGTTAACTCTGGTAACTGTAGATTTAAGCCGTGTTCTACAGCTTTGAGAGTTGCACTTTGTGGAACAAAATACTTTGGTGGAACAGCTAGCAAAAAAAAAAAAAAAAAAAACCTAATAATAAGGTACACATCTTGACTTATGTAGAGATAAGAGTATCAGATGAACAGTCTCTTTTTCTCTCATGAGTTTGAACACAAACTGCTTCCTTTGTGTGTAATGGCTGTTTGAACAATTAGGGCAGCGATGGTCCATCAGATAACACTCCAAACCCTTCATGATTCATGCTGCTGAACAGTGTGGTACAACTTGTTGATCTCTCTGGTAACCCTGTCATCTCTACGGACTGATAAGAGAGTTGACAACTTTTTCTACTTAAAATCCCAGATGGCAAAAACACCAAAGCTTAGATTAAAGCTTTTTTTTTTTTTTTATTTTGTTTACCTTCTTAGCGTTTGGGAAGAGCACAGGAATGAATCTGAAATTCATGCTTCCTTGTTTTATGAACTCAATCTGCATCTGGAACAGAACAAATTTAATTTCAAGAATGAGGATGAGGAGCTAACACGCACACGTGCAAGCCCACACAGTATTTTTAGTCCAATTTCCTTATTTGAGTGCCACACACTTATAATTTTAAGCTCTCCTCATTACACGTCTATACTCTTCACTTACTTGTCAACCATTTATTGAAGCCTATTAAGTCACGCTGTGTGTAGACTTAGAGTTTCAAGGATTGGGATACCTTCCAGGGTGTGCTGAGCTGGCTCCCATCAGCTTGCAAAAGCTAGCTGTATCTCTTCCCAATTCTGTGTTCAGTGAATTCACACTGGCAGCCTGAAATTGGCCCTGGTGAGAGCATTTATACCATGGAAATGGGCAAATGCTACAAGTCAGGAATTTTTTTTTGAGAACCAGTATACCAGAATACTGCAGATACAAATCCCATTCTCACAAGGCCAGCAGTTTAATGAGCAGGCAGAAAGGTAAATTGCCGACCACAGTACAATGTGAAAAGTATAGACAAGCTGCTGTGGAAGCTCACAATGGGGCCATCCATTCTATAGTAGTGGTTTGAAAGTCAGTTACAAGGGTGGAGTCCTTTGGTCAATCAGGAAAAATTGGAGGAGAGAGTAAGTATATTCTCCAAGGAAACAGCATAAGCGAACATCTGGAGGTGCTGGCATATGTTGGTGTAATTGGGACCAGCTAGCCCACCCCTGCAGCTAGAACACAGGATGGCTTAGAAGGGAGTGGAGAAAAGGCTGTGGTAAAGAGCTCTGTTTGCCAAGTGTTACGTTCCTCTCACCAGTTCCAATTTGCTCTGACAAGGCAGTGGCCCCCAAATATTTAGCTGCCAAGAACACTATCAAAACCAGAATTATCAATATGATGGGGTTAGAATCTTCCAAATCTTGTGACTAGCACAAGTGTTCAGTCATCTGATGACAAGGAGATGAGAAATTATGTGTTCCCAACTATTTAATCTTCCAATTGATTTTTTTAAAAGATTTATTTATTTTTATACAAGAGCTGGGGTACAGGCCAGAGGCACAGGAGGGTGAGAGGATTCACCAGAGACAGAGTGGGGAGTAGAACAGGCAGATGACCGAAATACACTGCTGAGGGGAGCTGTGGGTGCGACAGGAGAGGTCTGCCACACCATGTGGGAATCTCCCTGGCTGGCTGGGAATCGAACCCACGCTGCAGATGCTGTGGATGGCTTCACAACTCTGTGCTCAACCCACTGCGCCACCGGGGAGGCCCCCAATTGATTTTTATAACTGAGAGGGTTTCTTCATGTATGAGAATAAAAACAGAACAGAAAAGCGACAGAAGTGATGACTGATTATTGAACTCACCACAGAAACCCCCTCATAACATGCTTACACATTCATACCTACACACAATTACAACACACAAATCCTTCAGAAGAAGTTTCCTCAAAACCATCCACCTTTAAAAATCAAAAGACAATATCAAAAGCATATTTTAAGATGACCCAAGCGCTATGCAACTGAAAGCACTAACCACACCATAAACACATGAGGGGAAGCAACATGGGGTTTTTAAATTAACAGTAAAGGACTGAATTTAGTTTGTAACTTCTTGGATATCACCTATTATGATACTTTGCTTACCCACTAGGCTACCCAGTCATCAAGAAAGCATTTTAATTTTCTCATATTTGCAGATATTGGCTTTCTGGGAAGCCATTGGCTCTATGATATAGTTACTCTTAGGTTCCTTTTATGCCCTCTCTCCTGGAATTTTCTCCTGCCTCGAGGGGATCAGGAAGTCAGCCAGGTATTCAGGAAGGCACTTCTTTATCTGGCCTCTTAAACCCCCTTCAATGATAAGGAAAGGCCCAAGACTTTGAGTGAAGAGACTGAGTTTGGGGACCATCTGGTTCACAGCCAGACACATTCACAGCTCTGAGGTGGAGCAGTATAAATGGCTGCCTAGTATTGCCACACACTAGCAGAGCTTGGGCAGGTTTCCTCAGAACTGTGGGGACCTGGAGCCCTTCCCACACACCAGCTGTCAGCTCCCAGGACAGGCAGGTTCCTAGAGATGTGGACAGGACATGGGGTGCTTTGGGGCCATGTAGACATGCAGCAGTCAGTCAAGGGATTGGAGCACCCAGAGCCAACTGACCATGACCTTTCTGGGCAGAAATGGTAACTTTTCTGGTCCCTGCCCATGGGCTGTTAGACTGGGTGAGAATGGAATGGGGGAAATTTATTTCCTTATCCTTTGTCCTTACTACCCTTGCCTCAGCTTTTACTTTGTGTTGATTCTGAGCTCAAATAAGCAGTTGGCGATTGGCAAAAGAGGAGCTAGACATCCTTAAAGGCCAGATGAGGGACCCCCACCCACCCTGCCTTTGTCCTGTGCTCCTTTGAGCCACAGGACATACTTTGATTGCAGTTGGCCTTCCTCTGAGGTAAAGCTGCATAGCCCTTCACTGCCCGACTGCCTCCTGCCTCCTGCCTGTGGTGCTTACTTATTTCATTTGGGCCACTACTGCTTCCTGCCCATCTTCCTGTTTTGGTTAGTGAGATTTTTTAAAAAAGATTTACTTATTTATGCATACAAGAACTGGGGTACAGGCCAGAGGTGTGGGGGGTAAGAGGATTCACCAGAGACAGAGTGGGGCACAGAACAGGCAGATTAACTGAAATACACTGCTGAGGGGAGCAGCGGGCGAGTCAGGAGAGGTCTGCTGCGCCATGTGAGTTGTCCCTGACCAGCTGGGGATTGAACTCGTGCTGCAGAGGCTGCAGATAGCTTCAGAGTGCTGTGCTTAACCCCAGGGAGGCCTGGTCAGTGAGATTTTATCCCCATTTTAGGTTCCTTCCTACCCCTCATTGAATTTCAGAGGTGAGATGGAGACAAGCAATTTTTTCAAGATTTAAAAAAAAAATCTCAGAATCCTTGTTAATCAAACAAATCTAAAAAAGGTACACCAACTCTGGTTGAATTGGGTGGGAGGTCCAGAGCCATCTTTGTCCCCAGCACATATATGGACACACTCCAGGAGAGCCTAAAAGTCACAACTGCAGCCTAGCATCCTGGTCAAGCAGGAATGGTCTCTACAGCATCACTACAGTCACAGAAGCAGGAAATTTGTTAGACCATTAAACAGCCAGGCCCAAATATGGGGGATATTTTCACTCAGAATGTTCTAGCAGAGGCTGAGCAAGTCTAATATCCAATACATTTCTCCCACTGGATTTACCTTGACCGGGCCCCAGAGTTCAGTTGTGAGAGCAGAATGTCGCTTATCTATCATGAGCTAGGAGCAGTTCCTTCCCTCATCTGAGCATCTGATGTGTGCCACATCCTTCACAGTATTATTTCATTTGATCTTCACAACAATGTAGTATCAGTGACCCATTTTATGAAGAGGCACAAGGAGGTATAAGCAGCTGGCTTATAGTCACACGTGCACATGAGGAAGCCGAATTTGAATCCAGTCTAACTGACATAATAGCATGTGTCCCTTATACCAGGCCAGTCTGCTTCTCTGAGAGCAGGAGATGCAACATGACCCAGAAGCAAGAGCGTGCTCTCCTGACAGCCACTTCTCCCATCCCTCCCATGACTCCACTATCAATGATAAACAACCAAGCCAGCTGAGCACTGCTTTCCAGAATTTGAACTTCAGAGATCACAGATTATTCTCCTTTTGTTACTGATAGGAACACTGAGTCCCAGAGATAAGGTCCCGAAGGTAAAAGGAACCAGAACCAACATCTCCTCTGGAACCTGGGGTTCTTCACCCATCAACACGCTGCCTTTCATTGGTCTCCAGTGAAGGACAGGGCCTCACTAAAGAAAGAGCCCACCTCCGTGGGGCTGTCGGGTTCTGGGTTTCCCTCACCACTCACCATTCGATGAATGTACTTAGTATGTAAGCCGTGCTCATCCTCGTCCAGCTGCGACTCAGCGCCCTCCACATCCTGTTTGTATTTGGGACTGATTGCTACGATTATCATCACTGTCTTCTGTTAATGAGAGGGAGAAAGCATGTTTAGGGAAGTGTGAAGTGTAGTCCATTTGGTAAAGGCTGTTGGAAACTGGCCAGCAGGACTGTAAGCCTTCTCTGACATGCAGAGGATGGAGGTGGGGGGCGGGGAGAGGCACTGCCCCCACGCAGGCAGCTCCTGTCTCCGCTCTGTCTCCCTTCAAACACGCAGAGCAAATGGCTCCAACAGGAACTCTGCTAAATGGATGCGGTTTTGCCTACCATTTTCCCACAACCATTACTAATAAACGTCTAATGAAAGCCGGAGTCACTAAGTGATTCTGCATCAGGGCAAAAAGGCCATGCAACACCAGTGATGATAAACCCCCGCCTTCCTGCAGTTGGATCTAAGCTGTCAGTTACTGAGCTCTCAAGGCCCTGCGTGCTGCCTGTAAGCGTCAGCACAGTCAGGAGGAACAGACCCTTCAGCATAAAGCAAACATCAGGCTGCAGACAAAAGGAAAAGCTGCAAACCCAGCTTGCCGAGACACTAGCCCCCACTGCTCCCTCCTGAAGAAGCGCCCAGGCGGCTGCCTGGGACACACTGGTAGCGATCAATTTCTATCTTGTTAAGGCGCAAAGTGTCCCAGTGGCCGGTGTAGATTTAGTGCGTGGAAAACAAATCACAGGGCTGTGAGGGGGTGTCGGGGGTGGGGTGGTGTGAGGCCACCCCGAGAAAGCTTTTCAGCCCTATCCTACAAAACACTTGTGGTGGAATCAGATTAAATTGAAATCTGCCGCTCCCTCCCTTCATTTCCTCCTTTCCTATTCTAGTCAAAAAATTGTTTGCTCTGATTGTTATCAACCACCTGTGTCTGGTTTGACTGTTATTTCCTGCCTGTGCATGTCCAGGAGGGCGACCCCATCCTTCCTTTCTAAATCTTTGCACAGCTGCCAACAAGGGAGGCTTTGTTGGGATTTTCTCAGCTTTGGACGTGGTGGGTACACCGTGCTTCTTTCAGAAAATAACTTCACAGGCTAATTGTCTTTCTCAGCAGAAAACAGGCTCAGAATTTTGGAATGTACTTACATCCCTAAGGTAGCGTTCCATCCATTTAATGATATCAATGCCTCGGATTCTATCCTCAAATAAGTCAATCTATAAGAAAAAGATGCAGGAGGTGACTTTAAGTGAAATGCTTTCTTGAGATGCAGAGCAAATGAAAAACACAGGAGACTATACATTAAAACAGAAAAGTTACTAAGGCTTTTTGCAGGGAGGACCAAGTTAAGTCTAAAAACAAAAAACAATTTTCTTAAAATGTCCCCTATTGTAACATTAGTAGGCATTTAAGTATTTTATATCTATAATTAGGATACATACAGTGGCACACATCAAAATATACCTTTGGCTACATAATAATTAGGTTTTTAAAATCCAAGACACATAGCAGACCACCATGTGGGATTTAAGTCAGCAATATACATGTCATATATCTCTACCTACTTCTATATCCATCTATATCTACAATTTGAAAGACAAACATGATTCTGGAACATTTTAATGGCTAGGCATGCAAGTACTGAGATACAATTGTGGTATTTTACTTGTGTTAGCCAGATGTTTATTATGGTATTATGTCCAGTTTCAATCTATATGTTTAAAAGGATTGTATGAAACTTGGAGCTGATTCAAGGAATAGTCACAGAAAAAATTACTGGATGGTGGGGAGAAGGTTTATGATGAGTCAAGAAGTACAACATTTTAGCCTCAAAAAGACTGATATGAAAAATCAAGTCTTTGAAGGAGTATTCAAAGTGGAGGAAAAAAACAGTTATTTCTCATTTTGCAGGAGGTTAAATAAAAAGGCTTTTCTTGGGGGCCTCCCCTGGTGGCGCAGTGGTTGAGCGCTGGGCTGCAAAGTTGCGCGCAGCCTCAGCAGCACTGGTTCTATCCCTGGCCGCCAGCGAGGGTCCCACATGGCGTGCAGACCTCTCCTGCCGCCCTCTGCTCCCCTCAGCAGTGTACTTCGTCAGTCTGCCTGTTCTGCTCTCTGCTCTGGCTCTGGTGAATTCTCTCACCCTCCCGTGCTTCTGACTGTATTTATTTATTTGTGTGAATAAATAAATAAATCTTTAAAAAATAAATAAATAAAAAATTCTTATTAAAAGAAAAAAGGGCTTTTCTTGGGCTCAGATTTGTCCTGCAGGCAGTGAGGTAGGGGTGTGTGTGTGTGTGTGTATACAAGGTGCTCTCGATTCGAAAAAGGATTCTATATTGGAAAGAGTGATTCTAGGAGAGTATCCTTGAGCAGGAGTTATTTGATTCAGCCCACACTGCTCCCAGATCAATTGCCCTAAATGTCACTCCCCCATTTAGGGCTAATCAAAGCAAATCCTGGCCATTTAGTAAGCTTTCAATGCCACCCATTATTCAACCCTACCCCTCTTTCCCCTACATGCCCTGTCTACTTTACTCCCCTACATTGGTGTCCCCTGCACCCTAAAAGTACAATGCAAGTCCTTCTGCTCTGTGACTCTTCTGGGAGGCTGACTTCCTCCTCCTCACCTCGGCTAACTCTACCCTATTGTAACCATTAGTGGTAAAAGACTATACATTATTATGACATTCTCTCATTTGCTCAGTTTCTCTTTTATGTCTGCCTCATTTCTTCTAATTGGTCTTAAGCTTCCTATAGAGTGAAATCATGCCTTGTCCACACCAAACTGTCAAACATATACAGTACTAAACACCCACCAGGAATAAATTTCTTTACTGGTAGAACATCAAAAATGGAATGGCTGTCCTTTTGATTTGGACAATTCTTATTTGAAAATGTCTGATGGCCTATGTGTGTGCCCTCATCCATATGACAGGTGTCCTTATGAAAGATTAGAAAACAAGAACTTCCTTGTGGCACAGGGTTAAATTCTCAGTGCTATCAAGCTATTGTCAGCCACTGAGGCATAAGTTTGATCCCCCGCCAGGAAGCTAACCCACATGGAGCGGCAGACATCTCCTGTTTCGCCTGCTGTTCCCCTCAGCAGTGTATTTCAGTAGATCCACCTATTCTGCTCCCCACTCTGTCTCTGGTAAGTCCTCTCACTCCCTGCACCTCTAGCTTAACCCCAGTTCTTATATGCATAAATAAAAAAAATAAATAAATAAAGAGAAAGATTAGGAAACACAGAGGAAAGCTAAGGCAGACAGAGGCCAAGGACAGAGACATCAGAATGAAACTAACCCTGTGAAGCCTTGATCTTACTTTTAGCCTCCAAAACTGGAAGGAAGGAAATTGCTGTTGCTTAAGCTTCCCAACCTAAAGTACTTCATGGTAACCTAATGAAGCAGGTTGCCCTCTTCAGGGAGGACACGCCTCTCTTGTTCTCTAGATCTGAGAGTGAAGTTGCAACTCCCTACATTTGCTAGTCCTGGGATAATTGTACTCTTCCCTGTGGATTCCCTAAAAATCTACCTGGAGCTTTAAAATTTGTCCTGTTTTTAGACTTTCCTTAACTTAAGCAGCCGCTGATTCCTAAGGCCACAAAAACCTGACTTCTTCCTCAGTACATTTATACGGAGGTGAGCAAAAGCAACATCTTATCTGAAATGTGATGAAATGTGGCCTCCATGTCTTATAATTTGATTTAAGTCATGGTTGCCTCAGTGCTTTCTTATTCCAGCAATAAGAAATTGCGTATTGGTCTCTATAGAGAAATGAAGTTGAATTGTGTAAGTAGTATTCTTTTTTTAAACTTTCAGGTGTTCCTATTTTAAGTATTATAGAATAAGAAAAATTAAGAGAAAAGCTGTTAAATAATGCTAACCATTTTAAATTGATATTTAGTTATTAAGTATTCCTTTGTTATCCTTCCACACTTCTATTCAGAGATATTTCCCTTAATTCATGTCCTCTCTAGAATCACTATCACTGAATAGCCCAAGGAGGCCTCTGGGAAGGGAAAAAAGTGATCTCAAGGTTTAAGGAAAGCCAGTCCTCCAAGCAGCCTCTTGTGGTATTGTATGTATCCTGAAGAACTTACATGGCCTTAAGCTGTGTTGTTTCAAAGCACTGCAGGAGGGTTGAGGAGTATGTGATTCCTGAGATTTCTTGGGCCAAGGTCACAGTGAACAGTAGGACTGGGTTAAGTCTATTCTAGAACTACACTGGATGGGCTGAGAACCTGGTCATGGTTCTGGAACCAGAACACAATGCCCAGAAGCATCACTGCTGCATCAGGTATGGAATGGCAGTGGTGCCTGGCCCTAGGGCTTTTACTCCAAACCTCACAACACAGGGCAGAGTAAAGGGACCTTGTAAAAGAAGTAGGTGACCTGGTGAAATCTGCAGTTTTTTGCAATGCAGTAAGAACAAGCCGAGCAGGCATGGTTGGTGCAAAAGTACAAAGTACAAAGTGCAGCAAGAGGCTGTCGTGTCCTGCAGGTCCTGGGCCAGCAGCTTATGTAGTCGGCATTAACGATGTTCTGGCTCTTCAGGGGTACTTGGCATCACTTAAAAAGCATGTCAGGGGTGGGCCTCCCCTGGTGGCACAGCGGTTGAGCGCAGGGCTGTGAAGCTGCCCGCAGCCTCTACAGCGCCGGTTCGATCCCCGGCCACTGGCGAGGGTCCAACATGGCAAGCAGACCTCTCCTGCTGCCTGTTGCTCCCCTCAGCATTGTGTTTCTTCAGTCTGCCTGCTCTGCTCTCCCTCTAGCTCTGGTGAATTCTTGCACCCTCCCGTGCTTCTGACTGTACCCAGTGCTTGTATAAATAAATAAAATAAAAATCTTTAAAAACAACAACAACAAAAGCATGTCAGGGGAGGTAGGGAAAGCTGGAAACTGGATAGTTTAAAATCTAGAAAATAATGACCTATATCCATAAACAGTTCTGAATCAAATAAATCAAAAAATATAGTTTAGAACATCAAGAGTCATTTATATTTTTTCTCCTTTTGCTTTTCTTTTCATTGTTCTCACTTTAATTACTCAGTTTTCTCTTTAGATAAAATACTTACTGCAGTTTGGAAGCCATTTACCAACAAAAAGTTCACGAATTTCACCACCTCCATGGCTGTGTCCATAGAATAAGTGATAAAGACTTTCCCTAAAAGAGATTTTTCACATTTATTAGAAACCAGTCAAATTATTCTGTTTTCAACAACACTTGAAAATTGTACGAAACACCTTTTGTCCTTCTTGAATAATAAAGGGAATCCTCAGGATGTGGCTGATCTCTGGTTTATGCTGCAGCAGTGTGCATGGCTGTGCTCAGGACTGAGATCGGCAGGCCAGGGGGGCAGGGTGTGAGCCCAGACTGCTCAGGGTACATGGAGGGAAGAGGCACAGAGCAAAGAGATGGCAGACTGAGACAGGCTGAGGAGGTCTTCTGAAAAACCACATGATGTGTTAACAAAAAAAATCCATCACACAGAACCTGTGGGTTCTTAAGATCAGGTCACCGCATGGTTTCTTAGAGACACTTGGCACTGCGCCCAGGGAATAGTCTCACGCAGGCCAAGAAGCTGGGCCTTGCTGAAGGGCCACTCAGCAGCGTCCTCTTTTGATCTCATTCAACTCTTTGCTGCCTGAATTCTTGACAAGACAAGTGAGGGGGTAGGGAGAAAGTGGTCCCTCACCCCCCTGTTCCACATCCCCTCCATCCCCTACATCCATTCATTGGTGGGGAGAGGTGAAAAAGTTGGAGTAGATTAAGGCAAAGCTCAGGAATGTCAGTAAGAATGTTGGCAGTTTGAGGGAGAGTACCACCCCTAGGCAGCCCAGTGTCACTGTCCTCCCTGGGCCAGTGTAGACCAGCTGACCTGCATTATGCCCAGAAACTTACCCAGTCAGGATGAGAGCCTCTGGCTTGGGGAAATGATCTGGCTAGTATATTCACGTGAGAGATAAATAATCTCTGTGTGTTTGACTTTAGTCTAGAGTGGATGGGCTAAATCTCAGGAGGCCTCTGGAGCAGAGGGTAGAGAAGAAAGGGATTTGGAGAGAAAATATGTGTTGGGGGACCTCCCTGGTGGCAAAGGGGTGGCATGCTATCAAGCTATTACCAGCCACTTCGGCTTGAGTTCGATCCCTGACCAGGAGCTAACCCACATGGCGCAGCAGACCTCTCGTGTTTCACCCGCTGCTCCCCTCAGCAGTATATTTCAGTAGATCTGCCTGTTCTGCTCCCCACTTTGTTTCTGGTGAATCCTCTCAGCCCTCGCACCTCTGGCCTGCACCCCAGTTCTTATATAAATAAAAATAAATCTTTAAAAAATAAAAAAAGAAAGAAAATATGTCAGTCTATAGCTACCTATATTCTTGTTTCTTGAAATATACCTCTAAATTGTGTACAATGACCATATGGATTCATTTAAGCAGCTGGTTATTTTATGAGACTCAATTTTCTTCTCAGTCAACTCTTATGCAAGAATGTTGGAACTCCCTTTATAGATTTTGGTAGAATAAATATGATCTGTAGACCAACAGTAGGATTATATCTTTTGCAGGGCAGTTCTCAGAATGAAAATCTATAGGATTTTAAGAAGATTTGAAAAATTTCTTTGAATGAAAAATAACACTGGATCATTGTCACAGAAATCATTCAGATCCTAAATGAATAAAGAGTATAGATCCCCCAATAGGAATTAACATATTGAAGAATTAACATATTCAATTTTGGCTCAAAAGAAGTAGACAGTCTTGGAAAGGGCTTGTTAGAATCACTTGTGCTTCTCTAGCAAGCATAACAGAATGTAACTCATTCACAAGTAGTGGCTGGTTTCTTAAGATTTCTGGAACTTACTGTCCTGACTGATCTTAATATGAGAACATTCTGGTGATATTTCAACATGTCCGGTTCTGGTTGCAAAATATGGAAAAAAGAGTCATCACCTGACATGAAGTCAAATGTTTCTTTAAATAAAAGCCTTAATTTGCATTTGGTTGTAAAGTAGTTTGGAGAATGTGAGACCACTTTTTCCAAACAAGATTGCTTGCTCACTCCTACAGGAAATGACCTTATTCTTGATGGCTGCTGCTAATTTATGATGAGACATTGCATCCCTGACCAACACCACTTGGACAGCCAATCAATTTATCCAGGGACAAGTCCACTCAAGAGAACATTTAGAAAAGTTATTTGTTGTTGGAGTATCTATTATGAAAATCTAGGAGTAAGCACCTTGTGAGTATTGCCGATAATATCAAAATCACTAAAAACATTCATGCAAAATGCTGGCTACTTTTTCAGCAAAAGGCAAAAAAGTAGATTTCATTTCATGGTGTATATGAGAACTATCCAACTTCATGGATATCATCAAGTGTTCTTAAAATATAAGACCTGATGAGAAGGAAAGAACAACATTGCAAACAACTCACGCAATTCCTCTGGCAAATTGCTTGTTTTCAGAGTTCCTCTGGCTGGAGGGTTACTTGGGGGTCGAGGAATAGCTGCTGCAGACAGAGCCTGAGGACCCTGTTGCCTCAATTCTGCAGGACACTCGAAGGACTCCTCAGGAGCTCCAGCTCTATTAGGTGGCTGGTTATGCAGCTGGTCCCTGCAAACAAATATATAACAGTGAATTGTCATTTTTTTACAAAGGCAAACCTTGAGGGACAGAAAGGCTTTCAGAACTATGGGGAGAGAGCACTGAGCTACCTCTCTCCTCTGTCACCATTTTTTTCTGAGGCAGAGGCAGGAGGGTTGCTCCAAAAAGTTCAGTCAAAAAGCAATTCATCCATGTGTAAGGGCCTGTGTTAAAAGTTGAAAGAGGGAAACAGGAGTTGATTTCTTCTTTCCAGGACTATCTAATTAGGAAGATAAAGCACATGTGCAGGGTCACCCACAAAATGAATGGGTAATAGACAAGACTAGTGTTAAAGTAGACCCCAGCATACTATGAGTCCTTCCTATTAAAATATCAATCAGGGGCCTCCCTGGCGGCGCAAGGGGTTAAGATGCAGCACTATAAAGCTATCTGCAGCCTCTGCAGCACAAGTATCCCCAGCCAGGGAGTTGACCCACATGGCACAGCAGACCTCTCCTGTCTCACCTGCTGGTCCCTTCAGCAGTGTCTTTCAGTCAATCCGGCTGTTCTGCTCTCTACTCTGTTTCTGGTGAATCCTCTCACCCCCTGCACTTCTAGTCTACACCCCAGCTCTTGTATGCATAAATAAATATTTAAAAAATATATATAAATCACTTTGTGAATAATATTCACATTACAACTGCCATCAACTAGGCCGTGCCGGTGGGGCATTTGAATAACTGCTAGCATATGAGCCAGTCATGGAGTATTTATGGGTTTGATGATCCTTTGTTTTTAAATGTCTTATTTTTTATTTACTCTTTATGTATCTTTTTATATATGTGGTTGTTATCAAGCTGTGTAAAAATATTGTGTTAAACTGTAATCATGGGCCCTAAAGAGTGTATTAAAAAGAAAAATTTCAATTAAATTGAAATAAGACGGCATGAAGATAGTGTAACATTTAGTGAATTTGGTCTTTCCCACCTACTCCATTAGCAAACTCTAAGTCATTTTGAAATGACCTTTTCCATTTTAAGTTACTTTACTTAACTTTTTTTTTAAACTTTACTTATCTTTAATTTCACCTATTTAATGTCAATAAAAATGAGGTGCTGTCAGTATTTTTGTTGTTTTGTCTTACATAAGCTTAATTACGTGCCAAAAATTTCAAATTATTCCATCTTAGAATGAATTATGCAATATCAATGTATTATTGAATTCACATTATGATATTTTCACTATGAGTCTTTCTACTGTATAGGTGGCATTCAGATAAAAAGTCAGGTCTCTTTACTCCTGATAGTATCAAAGGGTAGAAAGGGCAATTGTAGGTGTAAAATTATTTATGGATGAAAATCTGATTTTGATGACCCTTGAAAGAAGTTTCTACCACATTATCATATGATTATTATTTTGGTTGCCAGTACTCCCATGAATGTTCTGTTGAGAACCATGAACATTCTGTTAAGAATGTTCTGTTGAGATGCATGTGCGCGATATTGGGAAGACAGAAGGATATGGAGGCCGCCCTGCGCCACCCTTGTGGTGTCTGTGGGTAAGTGCCATCACCAAATGCTGAGTTCCTCAAGAAGCATCCCCAGTATCCTGTTACACCTTCACAGCGTCAAGGGTAGGCTATGGGCACTCATTTTCTGGCAGCACAGATCTAGCAGGCACAGAATGGTTCTAATAGTTGCTTGGGTGGTGGTTTGCTGATTCTGGATCGTGCTATGGCAGTGTGACCCAGAATGGGCGTCCCTGGTGATTTTCTCACCTGATGCCTCTCTGACTGTGCCAGAGGAGACAACCTCTTTGGTGTCGTGTTCTGTGTTCTGTGGTGTTGCTCTGGGATCATGCCTGGAAGGCCAACCTAAAGTTCATGCCTCCAACACCAACACATTTTAAGGACCCAATTCTCTGTATTAAATCCCTGTCTTTTTAAAATGGAGTGGTTCTTGTTCTCTCTAACTATTTCCTAACTGATGGCGGTACTGAAACTGTGTCTGTAAGGCTTTACTTCTTTAAAAAAGATCTGAAGTAAATGTGACAATATATTAACATTTTAAAATCTAGGTAGTGGGGACATGGATGTTAGCTATTTGTGTCTGACATTGTCTCATAGTTTTGAAAACTATTGAGTATAAAATATGTAAAGACCCAATTTTTGTAATTATTGCTAATGCTTTCATATTTCATATTTCTACTGTATTTCACATTTCTATAAAATAAAACTACATCATATCTCAACTATATTGTGTTTTTAAATCGTGGATGTTTGAGGAGGTAACTCATGTTTTTATTAACATAGTGAAGAAAATTCCTATAAAATATGTTTTCATCTAATGGGGACCCAGTTACATATCCTTTTTGCATTAAATCCTTTTTGCATTAAATCCTTTTATAACCAAAATTGCTTAGTTGCTATAAAAGATGGTTGCTCATTTGATAAAGAAATGTTAAGACCCTGATAATATTAAAAAACTTCCATACAAAATAATATCATGGAGATTAATGGCAGAGTAAACTTTCTGTATAAAGGTTTTCTTTCAAATTATCAGTAAGAGGAGAATTAACTTTATTACTTGAACTTATTCTTCATTATCCTAAAATGATAAAATAAATCCAAGGAGACCATAGCAGGCTTAAATTGATGTTATAAATGCAATTACTCTTTGCTATCCTTGCAGCTCTTCTGTAAACCTCAAAACATTTCAAAATAAAAGTTTATTTTAAAAAATTACTATTGCCTCACCTATCAACATCAAACTTATTTCATAAAGATGCTTGCTCAAATTTTGTTTTCTTAGAGTTTTAGATATTGCTTGTGCAAGAGTGTCTATATTGCTGTGAAGTCATATTTTACTTATTCCACTATTTTAACTCCATGTAATTTTGTTGAAAAGAAAATAAGGGTGCTGTCTTAAAAGACAATCTGGGGGCCTGTGGGATTTTGAATAAAGGAGAAAGTAGGCATGAGCTTTATCTGTCCTTTTTCTTCTCAATAAACTTTTTAAACTAATTACCAATTTTTGTATTTCTGAAAAATCCACTTAAGCCATTCTTACCTCACTCTATTCTCAAAACAGAATATAGTTTTACTTAGAGTGCTGTACAAAAATAGTGCTTAACTATTTACAATAGCTAAGCTTTGGAAACAACCCAAATGCCCAAAAATAGATGCCTGGATCAAGAAGATGTGGTACATATATACCATGGAATATTACTCAGCATTCAAAAAAGATAAACACATGCAATTTGCAGCAACATGGATGGAGCTGGAAGGGATCATGCTCAGCGAAATAAGCCAGAAAGAAGACGAAAAATATCGGATGGTCTCACTCATAGCAGGAATCTAGAAAACTTAAATAAGGAACCAGGGAAAAGAATAAATATAAGAAAGAAAATATCAAAATCAACAAACAACTATGAACCAGAGACTCTCTATGGGGGGTGGGGGGCAGGGAAAGGAGGGCTTGGGGTCAAAATAAGGGGGTTGTAATTGTATGGGGAATATAAAAATAAAATTTAAATTAAAAAATAGTGCTTAAGAAAGAGCAAACATTTCATTTACTCTCCAATTTTGTCATAAATTAGGAAGCTCCATTGATACGAGTATTTTCTGTATACTTTAGAGTCATAAGTTAAGAGAAAAGGAAATATTGAAGAAGAATTAAAAGAGAAGGATGAGGAGAAAAATGAATAAACGGTTAGACAACTGAAGCCAAGGAAAACAAGATTGTTTTTCTGGAAGAAGTGGAGGAAAGATCTAACAATGGTGTTTCACATGTGTGAATGCTTTTATTAGCAAAAGAACCCATGTTATTTTTAATGAGAACCTATCAAAATTAGAATTTCAAAGTAAAAAAAGCAGTTTAAACGTTATAGAGACTAAAGATATAATAAAGATCTTCCTAATGGTGAAAGTCAGTAACAGTAAAAATAAAAATCCATTTCAAAGTCTAAAAGACCAGGTGACCTGAAAGTGAAAGAAGAGGATGTAACTTAGCATCATAAGAGGCTTTCCTTCCAGACATTTTTGACGAGTCACTAGTTTCTTTATATTTCTGGCAAAGAGATGTTTGTCAACAAGCTTCTATTTCCTCCTGACCTGAAAAACCTCTATTAGGTATTGCACTGTGTGGCCTGGTCACTGACCTGAATACTAAACCAACAGAGTATTGATACTCGATTGCATTGACAAGATTTGTTTTCATGTTTAAAATGTCTGAAAGCTGGCCCTGTCATACTGACTGGTACCTTGGGACTCCTGGGGAGCAGTCCATTTGTGCGGGCCTCTCTTCTTGTTCCCAGGGGCTGGGATGAGTCAGGATGACCTTCTGCACAGGGTGCAGGCCTCTCACACTGACTCCAGGTAGGGGCTGCCTCGGCAGAGCTGGCTGGATCACTTGCTGATAGGCTGCTCGAGGATAGTCATGGCCATCTGTAGGCAAAGAGAGCAAAGAAAACAGGGCATTCAAAAGCTTCCTTGTGTGAAAGGAGAGGTAAGCTTATAGCAAATTTTTATCTGTACCTATTATGGGTTCCAGCTATCAGTTACTGCCCCCACAGTGCTTGCCATATTTCATTACTTTTATTTACTTGATAGTTTTCATTAAGGCGAGTCATTGTTTTTCATTTTTTCTTAAATAAAAACATTTGTGCAATCACGAGTCTGGTCTTCTACTTGGAAAGTACAAAGCTCCACAGAGGCTCCTATTTTAAAATGTTGCTTTAGAAAATCTAACCACGAAGAATCTCTCTCACTCCACTCTTCCTAACATAGCTCAAGTTTCTAGTTCCTAAGGCTAGGAGAAGTTATCCCCTTGACAGATACAGAATCTCTATTCTCTCCTTTCCATCTCCCAAGGACACACACATTCTCTCTCTCTCTCTCTCTCTCTCTCTCTCTCTCTCACACACACACACACACACACACACACACACACACACACACATTCACTCACACTATTCCCTTTTAGGAAGTAAATGAATGAAATCTTGGTTCATACCTTGGGATGTAGCCAACCAGTGGGCAAGATGTCCCAGATTCCTTAATCCTCTCTTGCTAATACCTACTCGTGCTTGGGACCAGGGCAGTTAGAGAAGACAAGACTTGGAGCAAAGCCAGGCTGGTGGTGACTTATGTGAATGTGAAACCTAGGAGAAAGTTGACTCTAGCCAGGCCCAGCAGTGGCAGGGGCCTGCAGGAAGAAGGGCATCCTGCCTACCAGGTGAGAGATGAGAACTGAAGGCTGGAAGGAGGATATAGGGAACTGAGTAAAGGTGAAGGAAGACTCTGAAGGCATATTCCCAGGCCCAAAGGGGCTCAAGTGTTGGGAAATCTGAGAAGGCTGGGAATGCACCTTAGGTGTCAGTCCAGCCGATAAGGGGTAGAGAGAGTCAGGTGGGTGACCCTGCAAAGGAACCATGGGGATCTAAGTATTGTACCTCTACCCACTTCGTAAGACATCTCCCCTGATCCAGGAGGCCAAGCTAATTAGGGCAAAAAGGAAATTTTCACAATATTTATTCAAACATGTATTGGTCTGTCTTTTTCTCTTGATATAAAGTACAGCAAGTCCTTAAATACCATCCTTTTTCTCAACATTGTTTTCATTATAAGGTTGATGAGAAAAAAAACAAATACAGCAGATGTTGAAGTGACAGTTATTGGAGGACCTGATTTTGTAACATGTTGTTTGACTTAAAGTTGAAATTTCCAAGAACATGTTGGTGACATTAAGTAAGGCCTTACCAAGTTTGCTGGCGATGTAGGTAGGATGCATGCAGAGATGTAAAGTGAAATAAAACTAAAAAGTGAGAAAGTGCCAGCTAAGGCAGGGTGGAAGCAGAATATTCAGGGTGAGAAAAGGGGCTAAGAATTTTAGTCTTAGTTTATTTAGTAAGTAGTCAGGCATCATTAAGTTTTCAGGCACATGCAGGGGAATGATTGCCCCAAGTATAAAGCAGAAGAAAAAGTGAGTGTTCATTCACGCGAGTACCTCCAGATCTCCACTGTCTGCACTCAGGAAACTTGACTGGATGACCCTGGAAATGTCCCCAAGCCAGTCTCTCAAGCAAGATCAGATTCCCTGGATTCAATCTCTTGTCTCCTTTGACCCGTGACTTCAGCCAGCACCATCCTGTCACACTTCCTCCGGCAAAACTGACCGTGCCCCTCCTACCTAGGATGTCTCCTGGGCCTGACCATGGTACTTATTTGTTTAGGAAAGGGAGGATGATGGAAGAATCTGATGGAACTCTCCCAGTCCTCTGGCTGATAAAGGAGGCCAGGACTGACTTAGAGGACATCTCTAAATATGGGGAGACAGGACCATAGAGACTCCTATGGCCTAGGACAAGATCTGCTGCACAGATTTTGCTTTTATAGCCTTCAGGGACCGGTCAGATACCTTCCAGGGGGTCCAGATCACTAGTTGGGGTTACGGGGTAACAGGCAGGTCACTCTGCTGCTCCTTTTCCCCAGCTAGAAAAGAACAAAAGTGCTGCTGCCTTCGGGTCACCACACTGGGGCCAGCCCTTCATTTAGATGAGTCTTGTATGAGTGGACTGTTTACAAAATCAGCTGTAGATATACCCCCACCCCCACCCCGAGTTCTCCCATTGCACTTAAAATCTGTGTGGTCAGGTCACTGCCCTTCTTGATCTCATCTCTTACTATGTTCTCATAAGCTTACCCAGTCCCAGTGACCTGACTGCCTTTCTTTACCCTGAACACCCCATATTTGTGCCCACCTCTTGTACCCTGAGTTTGCCACCCTCTCTACCCAGAAAGTTTTCACCCTTTATATTACAGACCAACATGTCATTTTGGGCCTCAGCTTTTACCTGTGCAAAAAAATCCCCTACTCCTACCCACTTGCCTTATCTCATCCCTTATTTAACTGTCTTCTTAGTGTTTATCTTGTGATTGTGTGAATACACACAATTCTTATAAATTTCTTGTCTGCTTTCCCTACTGTAATGGAAGCTCAGTGAAAGCAAGGACCATGTTTACTACCGTGTTGATAAAAAAATGAATAAAGACTCACTAGTCACAAAGCTAACTTCACACACACAGAGAAAAGGGGGCCATTTAGGATTCACAATCTGCTTGCTAGCTCTTGAGTTTTCTAGATGGTCTCCTCATCTGCTGTCCATTTTGTTTTTCTATCTCTCTGTCTGTCTACCTATCATCTACCTAATTTTGTTAGTGTCTCCCCTCTGGTAGCAGGAAAGAGAAAGACAAGGTAAAAGAGAAGAAACTGCCAGTGGCCTTGAAAAGTTTTGTTTGGGGTCATTTTTTGCTTCCTATATCCGTTAAGGAGTGACTAATAATGTTTTATTTGCTTTATAAGGACTACCAAACGCTAATCATTGGACTTGTTTCTTTTCCAGAAAACCATGTTAGTACTGTTAATCAAAGGCCTTTGAATCAAGATCATATGATTTCTAACAGATTATTTCGTGCACAACATGTTTTTGTCTCATAGCAACAATCATATCATTAAAATCACTAAAGCATGTGGGCTAAGTGTTTGATTAGCTGTAGCTTTAATTTCTGAAATGGCCACCTGTGGTAAAAATTTATTTCAGTGTATGTGAGCAGATGAAAATAATCCACCTTATCTATTTTAAAATTAGGGCACTGACTATTAGGGTACACTGTGTTGTCCTTTGATTGTTTAAGACATAGAAATATTGAACATCAAGTTTTCCCTTTTGGAAGTGGAATTTGGCTGGTTGTACAGAAAATTTGCTAAATAAAAACTAAGTCAGGTAAATGAATATATTTTTATTACTCAAGTTTTAGTCATTCTGTTCCACTATTTTTGGACCAATGCTTGCTAGTTTAATTGGAAGATATATCTATATCTATATCTACATGTATAAGCACTTGCTAGATAGCAAATAGTGTTCTAAGTTCCTTATTTATGATAATACAGTTCATTTTCTGTTTTCTTAAAAAAGTCTAACTTAGAATAAAATCCAGATTCCTTACAATGGCCCTAGCATCCCTCATCTTCTCACACCATTCTATCTCTGCTCCAGCTTACTCGTTTTAATACCTGATCCATACCAAGCTCCTTGCTTCCTTGACCCTCTCATCTTTTAGGTTTCTGCTTAAATGTGTTCTCAAAGAGGTCTCCGCTGACATCCTGTCTATTAAATGTCTTTTCTAACATCTGGTTATTTCCTTCCTAGCATTTATACTGAGGTTTTTTTTTGCTGATTTCTCCTTTTCTGTCTCCCCAGTGATCTACGTGATGGCAATTGTATTCACCATTGCCTACCCAGTGCCTAGCATAGGACTGGGTAAATATATATTGAATAAATTGGTAAAGGAATGGAAAAGTTTTGTTTGTGAATCCCATTGACCTCAGTTCTAATCTTCCCTTCCTCATAGGACAATTAAAGGTGACCCTTTAAGGGTCTGCTCAAGACTAGAGATCATTCCTTTCCTCAGGAAGTAGAGAAAAGGAATTTCCTTCTAGCCACTCAACTCATACTTATTGAACTAAAATTTGACTAAAATTGACTAATACTTCATTTTAGTCACTCAACACGTACTTACTGAACCTACATAACAAGGCTTTTGGCGAACAAAGAGAGGAAATAGTTCCTCATGAGTAGCTCAAAATAAGTGGAGAGGAAAAGAAAAAATCTATGTGTCTGTGGGTGTCTGTTTTGAAACACAAACCCACACTTGTTAGTGTGTGAGAAGGGGAGGCATGCAAGTCAGCATCCACCTACTCGATAGACTTCAGAATCAATGCCCCAAAATAGCTCTTCCACTGACTTGTCCCTGGTGCCTAAAATTCTGCCAAGAGATTTTATTTTGTAGGAGACAAAGGGTAGGGAGCGGTGGGTGATGTGATAGACAAGTGATCTGTTATCATGGTAATCCTCAATTCTGAAGCAGTGTTAATCCAAAACAAAAATACAAACATTGGGTCTCCCCTGGTGGCGCAGCAGTTGAGCACTGGGCTGCGAAGCTGCCCGCAGCCTCTGCAGCGCTGGTTCGGGTCCCACATGGCACATAGACCTCTCCTGCCGCCTGCTGCTCCCCTCAGCAGTGTATTTCGTCAGTCTGCCTGTTCTGTTCCCCGCTTTGGCTCTGGTGAATTCTCTCACCCTCCTGAACTTCTGACTGTACCCAGTGCTTGTATAAATAAATAAATCTTTTTTTTTTTTTAAAGTGAATTATTTAAAAAAAAAAAAACCCAAAAATACAAACATTGTACAATGATAAATGGGTGCCCAGAACTGTATCTTATTTGTCAGTCTTGTGATCCTCTTGGCCTGGTACACAGCCCCATGTTACTGGGATTTAACCACTTGGAATTTGTAAACCAAATCCTAAATGAGGCTTTCTACTATTCAGTCAAACAGTCAACATTTTTCTTCCTTATTAAGAATGGTATTATAAGAGTTTATGAGAGAGAAAATAAAATCTGATTTTCAAGCTGTCAAAAGACATCCTGATATAATGCAGTTTAGTCAGGAAACAAAATGGCCCACATAAACTATTTCAGGAACTCCCACAGCTGTAAGCAGCTGTGTTGCCTAAAAGACAACCCCTTCCTTTATCATTTCTTCCATCTGGTTTATTTCTTCCTTACTTTTAATTGTGCATGCCCGCTAGCATACAAACAATTACTTTTGAGGGTCCATCTGAGCAATAGTAGGTGTGGGCCCACAGTTTTATAGATCCAGTTTCCGTGGTAGAGAAAGTAAAGTTTTTATAGTAAAATACAAACTCTTCTGCTTGAAAGCATTCCCTGCCTCCCCCAATTTATTTGTCTCCTGGGTTTTATTTGATGGCATAGTCACGATCTCTATTCTAGTGACCTTAGGAGGAAGAATTCCCAGGCAATAAGAAGCCAAAGCCTCCAGATGGTGGGGAAGGGGTTCTTATTTTCACCTGCTTCAAAAAAATTTTTTCTTCTTATTTTCACCTGCTTCAAAAAAAATTTTTTTTTACATGAAAGGGGTATCAGTAACCATTTTTGCTTGAACTTGCAAAGGCTAAGATAGGCTATTTACATGGTGATCATTATTTATTTATTTACAGTTTCATTAACACATGAGGAAGTAATGCTCTTCTAGACAAGGGAAACCATGTAGTCAGGGTTTCCAACTGCAAGAGCATCCCTTAGGTGAGCGCCTTTTTTGATGTGGTTTTGTTGGCAATTAAGTGCAGTTATAGCCCTGATGTGAAATTAAGCATTTGTACACCTGCTTTCTGGAAGCAGAGGGCATGCTACAGGGCTGGGTGCAAGATCCTTTTAAATGATTATAACAGAAGCTGCTAGTAATTGAGCTCCTTCCACAAGCCAGCTACTTTACTGAGCCTTCAATATCAACACATTATCTCATTTAATCCTCACACCAACCTTCCTAGGAGCCACTGCTGCTGCAGGCCTCATAAATATTTTGGACTTGCCCCCCAAAAACACCATAAGCACTGGGCTTCCCTGACAAAACCAGTTCAACCCTGACCATCTTCTCTGTGATTACATGACCACGGGAATATGGATCACAGCACAGCAAGGCAAATTAGGGGGAGCCTGCCTGTGCAACATAATTTTCCCTTCTTTTTCTTTTTAACTTTTATTTGTTTTTTAATTATAAAAGTAATACTTGTTTGCTATAATAAATTTAACAAACATATATAAGGTTAGAGGGGAAAATCAGCTCATCTCTTTAATTCCCTATCCTCTTCTCCTCCACTGTTAACAGTGGGGTGATCCTTCTAGACTTTTTAAAAACATATCTAGTTCTAAAAAATAACACATGTGGGATCAATGCTGCATTTTGCTTTTCCACTTAAGCTTTTTTATATCAGAAAGTGTATTTTATTCTATGTAAAAGAGGCCCAGTAGTCCATAAATGTGTACATAAGCTAGAAATTACTAATTGTTGCCTTCATTGATAGATTTTTTTTTATAGTGGTGTTCATCTTTACTCTAATACAAGGCTTCCTTATTCAAGTAATTTTAAATGCTTATTTAATGTTTCTATAGAATAGAACAGCTATTGAATGGCAAGTGAACAGCTCGGCCACAGAGGAAGCACTTTCAAAATTTTAACAAAGAGTGAAATTGTCTTCCCAAAGATTGTACCAATTTACACAAGAGTAGATGGGAGTGTTCATTTCCCCATAATTCCACCCACACTGAATGCTGTCTGAGGTTTTTATTTTAGCACACCTAATTAGGAAAACGTTATCCTTGAAAATTTTTGCATTTCTTAAATTTAGTAACATTAAGCTTAGTTTCATATGCTTACTGGCTATTTGTATATCTTCCATGAATTATTCCCTTTTCCTGTCCAAAGCTTCTCCTCTCTGCCTTTCATCATTTTTCTTGGCTTCCAGGACCCAAGCACCCCCTTTGTCCCCAACCTCAATAGAAGGAAGTAATATAGAGAGAGTAAGGGGAGAGGGTCTGATGAAAGAAAGCAGGTCCTGATGTATCAAAGACTAAAAGTGTTCCCAGTTGTGTTTGCATTTTAAAAGAGCGTGCCCAGAGGGGACAAAGTTTGCCTCCTTCCACTGGATTGCTAATGGTACCCTTTCAAACTTCAACAGAAAAATATTCTTAAATAGAAGGCTCTTTCTGGGACCCTTAAAATTATAGTGAGCCAATGTTTTCTTTGTCTCTGTAAGACCTTTTGGTAACTGTGTGGGATTAAGACCTTAATGTTAACTGTGTGGGATTTAGTATCTAGTAGCTCTGGACTAAGTATTCTCACTTATATACAATAATCAGCTGAGTTAACCAAAATGCAGATAAAAACACACATAACTTTTGTCATATCACTGCTTATTGGGTCAGAAACTGGAAACTATTTAAAATGTACAACAATAGAGAAACAAGTTGTAATAAACAACTTGGTAGGGCCATCAGATGGAATACCATGTAGCATTTTTAAGGGATGCTGCAAGAAGTGTGCTGGATGTTACCGGAAATTGTTTTAATTTTACCTAAAATATATATGCAAAGAAAAAATCAGTAGTAAATATGTAAAAACCCCAATAAGGAATTATATTTGATGGAAACACAAATTAAACTGTGGAGGCATATTTCAATTATGAGAGCAAACAAGTATCATGATCAGAAAAATTATTGTTCAATGCAGAGAGTAGACTGCTAAAATGTAATTTATATTATTATTCTCATAAAATTATTCTTTTTTAACCTGGAAATCATTGATTAATAAACACAACCTTGACCTGCTGTAGGGTAAAGAAAATGTTAGGCTCTTCTGCCCTCCTGCCATCAGGGTAGATGATGGATCCTTGCAGTCCTGAATGCATGCCTGATGGCGGGTACCTGGAGTAGGGTGTGGGCATAGGTAGATGGGATTCACCTGGGCTGAGACTGGGCTTTTAAGGGCGGCGTCACGGGAATGCCAGCAGAAGCAGAAAGAGAAGCCTAGAGAGAAGCAAAGAAGCAGAAGCAGAGATCACCGGAGAGCCCAGATAGAGTGAGGATTTTCGGGGGGCTGGGAGGCCTGCCAACCTCCCGGCCCCCCAGCACTCCTGCCTGCTGTGTACCGGGTAAATCCCAATAAAAGACCTGCAAAAACCACTGAGGGCTCTGACTCCTCCTTTACCGGGTCTGCTGGATTAGAAAACCTGAGCTGTGTCCATTCCTGACCCTACACCTGCCAAGTTTCAGTTCTCAGTGATTCACTCTTCAGGAACGCTGCAGCCACACCCATCTGTTATTGGACACTCAGAGCAGACATTGGCAACCACACCCCCAATCAGTTGATTTCCCGCCTTCCAACACCTTCGGTCCCAGGTTTTAGGCCTTACAGGCCCTTTAACCCTAAGTCCTGCTGCTCCCTCAGCTCCTTAGCCTCACTCTTAACCTCACATTTATTCTTATCCTGTTTCTTTCAGGTAACTTCTAATTTAAATCCCTTCATTCAGTTGGGGAAACTTTATGCTAAATGTGCATGTATGAACATACATTGTGATTACTTTATGCTAAATGTGCGTGCATGAACACACATTTTGATTATGCATTTGTGGTTATTTTTAGAAATTATTTTAAAGCTTGGGCATCCAACCTTTTGTTAGACTCTTTACTCAGAACATTTGACCTGCTTTTTGTGCAGTGTTCATTTTTTAAGAAAAACACATACTAATAGCCCTGTGCTTCATCTGTAAAGCCCTATCATGATCATTCAGCCTCAGCAAAGACTTAACATTAGTCTTGTGATGAATCTTTTATCTCAAGCTGAGATTTTATCACTTCCAGAGATGTTTATTGTACTAATACATATTATTAATTCATTCCTCACTCAAAGAAATTATTGAGTCTATTACATGCTGGGCACTGTGCTAAATGCTGGAGAATTATGGATTGGATTGCAAATACACCTTTGCTGATTTGCAAAAGCTTGCAGTCTGGAAAGAAGGAGAAGTAGACAAGTCCATAAGTAGATGTCATAGTGATTATTAAGGGTCCTGACAAGCAGAACACAAGGAAACAAAATCTGAAGGAGAGACTGATATGGAGAAGCTTCCAAAGGGACATTTGAGTTTTTTTTTTTTTCTTTTTCTGCCCCCTCCTGCCCATAAGTCTTAAATGATGTCTATTGTAATGGTTGTATAATTATGTAAATATAATCAATTATTTGAATTGTACATGTAAAATGGGTAAAGGATGATCTTTACAGTATGTAAATAATCTCAAGCTGTTAGAAAAAATAAAAAGAGATATAGAACTGGGTCAAATTCACAAAAAGGTGGAAAATATCCTGGATAGTTTAAGAGCCTGGGCAATTCCATGGAAACGTGAAACAGCTAGACAAGTTAAGAGAGGACCCTTAATAATAAGTCTGTGGGCATGACTAGAATATAGAAGACATGTGGTGGGCTCAAGCCTCTAAAGGGTGGAAGCAATGGAATCACAGGAACAAGTTGATCTTCATGTAATTACATGAGTCCAGAATCTCAATGACATTCTGGGCAATTTCTGATTTTTTTTGACTGAAGGTTCCTTTCTCTGCAAAGTCAGAAGTATGCAGAGAAGGAAGAATCCAGCTACCCAAGAGTTGGGCCAACAAACAAGTTTTCTAGAAGTTGGTCAGCTCCCTGACTCTAGACAGGTTTCACTATAATTAATCAAGACAGGAATCTGTTTTGTCCTTAAAGATTCCTAGAGAAACAGTTTCAAAAAGGGTCAGGTTTTGGCCAAGATAAAACATTCTTCTTAAGCTCTTTGCAAATCCACCCACATGGAAAGCCCCTATGGGAAGCAGAGTGACCTCCCAGCATTCTGACGTATTTGTGCTGGTCTCCTGATACAGCATTGATATGAGGCCCTGTTTACTTGGCTACCCAGCCCAAAGGCCCAGGGGAGGGAGAGCCCACTTACATGGCACCTGGTGATTGGGACCTCCAGGACAATGGTAATGATAGTTCCACTGAGCATGTGGCGAAGTGTTGGGAGGCAGCACCTGTGCACATGCTGGATCCCTCTGAGGTTCAAACTGATAGTACTCCCTGGACATGAGAGGTCTGGGGAGATCCTGAGGGAAGCACACAGAGGTGAGGGGCAGGGGCCTTTCCAGCTGCCTGATGCCCAGGACATCCTGTGGCTGGGAGTCATAACCCGTGTCTATCGTGGGCAGATCTGGGGCTGCTCGGTTTCTGTGGGGTGGGAGCTGTTGCACTGTCTCTTGGCCTTGGCCTGAGGAGTCTGCTGAGGCATTAGGTAAGCTTTGGTCTGATTTGTCTGAATCATTGCCAGTGTCAGGAGAAGCTGCTGAAATTTGAGATCCCAGCCATTGATTACGTTTTTCTATAAACGAAAACTGATGTTCCGGGGGAAGGGCTCCAACCACAGACTCAGGCTCAGGCTCGCTGGCTGCAGAAAAGCCCAAGGGAAAATGTTTGCCGGGGTCTGGGTGTCTCCTCCAGAAGCTATCTTCACTCTCCTCCAGGACTTTAGTGCGCAGACAGATGACCTGTTGGGACACAGGCCGCTGGTGATTTGAAAGTTTCAGGGGTGGATGAGCCTGAGAAAAATTTCCTGAGGAATAGTGAGGGGCTTGTAGTACAGACATGCTGTTGGGTGCCATGTTCCTTATATTTGGAGCAGGTGGTTCTGATTCCTCTTCCAGGCAATATTCTGGGTTTGGTAACTGACTTGGGTATGGTTCTGACTCATCAACCTCCACAGGAATGCTTCGGTTCATTCTAGTTTCTGGAACAAGAGAAAAATGCCAGAATCTCAGAAAACAGATAATTTCTTGGAGTCTCCCCGGTATGACCTTAAGGGACCTTGTTCAACATGTGGTTTAAATTAACAGTAGTGTGACACCAGCATGCTTGCAGAACCCTAATCTCATAAAGTTGTTTACTTACTCTCTAGGCAAAGGCACCAACGCTTACTCAGATACTTTTATCTGAAAGGTAATTCGAAAATTATGACTGGACTATCATGTGATAGAAGTCACTGACCAGCAAGGGATAGACACAGAGGAAAGTCATGGCCACGTATCGAGGAAAGAGAAATTTCTATAATAGGTGCTGCTCACATAGGTATCTTGGTTGTCTTTCAGAATGGAATTTAGCTGGGAGGAACAAGTGAGAGGAAGGAGTATTTTCATCTTTTGAAATTTTAAAATCCTGCTCCATGTGATTGTTGTCTTAAAACGATTTTAAAAAAAGGAAAAAGAAGGAAAGAAAAGAAAAATAAAGCCTGAGTTTAAAAAGCACTGAAAAAAGGTCATAGTGACATTTCCCTGCTTAACAACTATGGACTATTTGGAGGACTTAATTCCCTCTGGCACGATGCCTGCAATTAAGGTAGTCATGGCCATCTGGTTTGTGATGTAGCTGAACTAGCAAGGCTTGCTAAAGTAGCCTTTCGCCCACAGTCCATCTAATATTGGTTTTTCCCATAAAAATAGGTCACAATCAACATAATAGAATGAGAAAGAAAATTAGCTTCTCCTTATCATTAGATTGGTTGAGATGATACCTGGGCTCAAAGGGAAGGGAGGAGGTAGGTTGGGGAAAATAAAGCACATAAGTGATGGGAAGTCTGCAGGCAGAGGGCCCCAGAACAGGGGTGCTCGGGTAGGGGGAGCATGAAGAAAAAAATCCAAAGATTTGTTCTAGATGCATCTTGTTAGCAATACTCCAAACATCATAGAGAGAAAAGAGGGTATGGATTTTTAAATTTTTATTTTGTATCCATGTGGAATTTCAACCATAAACATTTATGGAGGTTGACCAAGCCTCAAGTCATATTGTATATAAATTATTATTCGAAGTCAGGCTTTGAAAAATATGAACTCACCTCCTCTGGAGCCTGTACCAGACCAAGTGGGAGCAGGACAGCACGCATTTTCAATGCTCTCCCTTGGAGCTGTGAGTCTCCTACCAAATTTCTCTTTATTGCCCCTACGAAGAAAGCCTCTCTACTCCCTGCCAAATGAATGCTCCCTAACACTTCTCTGACCCTCACTTAATATGAAGCGTATCCATCTGCAGCAAACAACCTTTGTACTGATTTCTGGCACAACAGAGAGCTCCTTCAGTTTCTAGTTCCTGGCTGGCCTCCCTTCTTGCCTCAGCCATCCTGTCTCCTGGCTTCCCCCCTCTAGGCTGCGTGTGTCCTCCTTCTAGGATGTGTGTGTCCCCCTCTAGGCTGTGTATGTCCCTGGCCCTTTGGCTCTGCAGAAAAGGAACCTCATCACCTCAACTGATTATTAGACCTTGTGAAAAGGAATAGGAATTTACCTCAAACACAAACATTTCAACTACATTATTTTAAAATGCTCATCATTGTTTTCCCTGCTTTCTGACAATTTTTCTATGGATATGAAATTGGATGTGCCATACAACATGCTCTTCAGCTGGTCAGGAAACAAAAGCATTTTCTGAAGGGCTGGCTGAGTGTTGTGTAATCTCCTGCAAGCATCTGCAGGCCCTCAGCTGAATGGGAGGGCAAAGAGAGGCATCGAGTGAGCCAGCTAACTGAGGAGGGATGAGTTCTGTCAACTATTTCTTGTTATGAGATTCATTTTCATTTCCCACACTTCAGGTACACCTGTTTACATGCTCCCTGGGTTTTCATATATGAATACCTTAGAAGTGCTTCCTTAAAAAAATGTAAATTCTACTCTTCTGGCTGAGGAGGCCTCAGGGCCTCAGAGACGCTGATAGAAAAGATGACAAGTGAGGTCATCTTATAACTGAAAATCTGAGGTCTGTCCTATGATGGGAATCCTATAGTTAAAAATGGTCTGAAAAGTCCCTAAACCCACATGAAAATGAACAGCCCCCCACCAGGAAAGCTATGGGGCAGGTAATTTTAAAAAGCAAATGTTTGCTTGTGTTTTGCATGTGTCATTACCAAAAATTCAAACAGCAAATAATTACTGAGCCCTATTTTGTGTCCACGTCTATACTTTGTAGCCTCTTTCTGAGGCATAAGTTCAATTAAAACATTTCTTTTGTATATAACATAGATCTTCAAGCGACACAATATTCAGGGTACAAAAGAGTATATGGTAGAAGGTCATCAAAATTATTTTTAAATACACAAAACATCATTATTACCTTCAATGTGCTTCTGATTCAGCTCAAGAGAAAAAACTAGCAAGGAAATCATATATCCTACCTCAGGGCCTTTGAATGTGCTGTTACTTCCTAGAACTCTCTTTCCCCAAATATCTGCATGGCTTGTTTCCTTTCTCCCTTAGGGCTTCACTCAGTGGTCACTTTCTCAGTGATTTCTCTGTTCATCCTCTCAAATTTTTACATATCCTCATGCCCCATCTGCCTTTCCTGCTTTACCATCTTATGTAGCAGCTATTACCAAGGGATAGATAGTCATGCATCACTTAATGACAGACTGCATTAACAGTTGGGAATAACATTAACATTGGGAATAACAGACTGCATATATGTGTGACAGTATGCTCAATAGGATATACCATATAGTGTAGATGTGGACCAGGCTATACCATCTAGGTTTGTGTAATTAGAGATGAAGTCACCTAACGACACATTTTTTCAGAATGTATTCCTGTCATTAAGCAAAGCACGACTGTACTACAAAATGAATTTATAAATGCAAATATCCAAATACACTCCTTGTTTGTCTCCCCCCTCATCTTCCACCCCATCGTGTGCACTTCAGGAGGGTATGATTTCAACTGTTCTGTTCACAGCTATAGTCTCAGCACATAAAATTATACCTGGCACATAGTTGTTCAATAAATATTTATAGAATAAATAAATGATTGAGCCCTGTTTCAGAGAGGGGGCAGATCCTTGTAACTGGAAGGATCACTAACAGTGAAAATGCTGGACTCTCGGTGGGGAACAGGGAGAACATTTGGTTTCTCAAAATTATTCTTTTCCCTTCCTATTTTATTCATCCCATAAACATTTATTAAGTATCTACTAAGTGTGAGGCTATAAGGTAGGCCTGGGCCATGCCTATGAGGTCCTGCCCATGGGAAGGGCAGAGCTGACCATCTGCAGAATAAAGGTAATTCTACCACCCAGTGTGATGGAACATCTGATCCAGACAGGGAGGCGGCTGGTCTGTTCATTCATCCTCAGAGCTTTGCCCAGAGCACAAGAGGGTGGGGCAATCCCACAGCTACCATGTGGGCCCTTCCCAGCCCTAGAACCCTGGCAGAACAAACCCTGTCACCCTCTGGAGGGTGTCACTGAGAAGAATGACACCAATGCCACATCAGAGGGCCAAAGGCAGATTAGTGGGCTGTGTCAGAAGTGGCAATTATATTTTTTGGTTTTTAATGTCATATTGTAAAAAGACTACACATTGAGAAAAAAATCACTCAGTATCTCACCACTCCTAACTATTTCCATTTTTCCCTCTTTCCTTCCAGGCTTTCCCCATATGATCTCCATGTGGCTGTAACACTGGCATGGCCCTATGAGGGTGGCATGGGATTAAAGTAGAAAAGTCTTGTTTTTGGGCCATGACCTGAAAGACAAGGCTCTGATTCCCCCACAAAAGGAAGAAGACCTGCTGGCCAGAACCCTGGGAGCCTCATTGCTGGCAGCACCCTGGACAAGCTCAGGTTCATCAGCACATGCACAAGTTCAGGAAGTCTGAGAGGAGCTGTGCCTGTCGGGCCTGGAGACCAGGGCCCCGTCTACCTCAGCTCGGCAATTCCTTTGGGAAGGGAGAGGCTGGAGGGTGAGGGAGCCCAGAAACCTGAAGCTCAAAATACAGAGGAATAGTCCCCACATCTGAGATGGGGTCTGGGTTGCCACGTAAATTGGTTTAAATCCCATAGTCTCTCTCATGCTTTGCTAAGGGGAACATAATCTGTACAAAGTGGCAGTAATTATCAGAATGTTTAAAACCTATGCCCTTTGACCTAGTAATTTCAGTTTAAGAATTTCCTCTTCAGAGACATGTGCATGACGTGTGAAATGCAGAGACTCTGAAGGCAGGCAGTACAACAATGTGTACAACAGCAAAGGCTAGAAACCACCCTGATGCACAAAAGAATCTGATTTTTTAAAGCTGCTTCAACCGTACAATGAATACTCTGCCTCTTTTTAAAAAGACTGGGGAAGTGCTGTGTGAAGTGATGTGAAACCATAAGATGGATTGTTAAGTTAAATAAAGAGCAGGACAATACATAGGGTCTGCCATTTCTGCAGCATCTAAGATTGTATGTGCACACCATCTCGGCAGGAATTTGGAGCCAAGACTGCCTCTGTGATGGGAACTCTGACTGGGAACAGGGGCAGGAGGGAGACTTAATTTCAGAGTAGTTTATACCTTTTAAATTTGCACTAAGTGCCTCCATGTCTACCTAAAAGACAAAAAATACCAAAAAACAAAAACAAAAGGAAAGAAAGAAAGGAAAAGAAAAGCTTCACTAGTGGTTCTGATGGTCACAAAGATTAAGAACCAATTTGAATGAAGAACACCTGAGTGATCACAGCCCTTAAGATAACGAAAGGGCCTCCCTGGTGGCTCAAGGGGTTAAGCACCGCACTATGAAGCAATCCGCAGACTCTGCAGCACGAGTTCAAGGAGCAACCCATATGGCACAGCAGACCTCTCCTGACTCGCCCCGCCTCTCCCCTCAGCAGTGTGTTTCAGTCTGCCTGTTCTTTTCCCCTCTCTGTCTCTGGTGGAATCTCTCACCCCCCACATCTATGGCCTACACCTCAGCTTTTGTATGCATAAATAAATAA